TTGATTGATTGATTGATTGATTGATTGATTGATTAATTGATCGATTGAACTGATCTCTCTCTCTCTCTCTCTCTCTCTCTCTCTCTATATATATATATATATATATATATATATATATATATATATATATATGAAAACGTCAATCATTCAATTGATCATTCGATCAATCCAGTGACTCCGGTTTGTCGTGCGGGGTTTCTGACATGTCATCAAGTTGGTCACTCAGTCGCTGCATTGGATGTGTGTCTGGCGGTCTGGCCGAAGGTCAATCTGTCAAGAAGTTCGTGAGTCTTTCTCTAAATCAGTCTCTTTTCCAGTGCATCGGTGACAATGCAAGTCACTGAGTCTATCATCCGATGACTTTTTGCTGATTACAGGACCGGACGTTGTTATTTTCGCCATTTGGCAGGTCATCGTTTTTGAGATTGTGTTGCCGGCATTGCACCGTCCACCACGCACCACACGCACGGCGCGGGAGAGGGCTGCCCATCTGTCATGGATGACGCACCAACCAGTTTCACGCCTGATGACGGCAGGTTAGCAGAACGATCACCCACTTGGCCCACGAGTGGCAACGCCACGCCGGTGTCACCGCATGCCGGACAGCGCGGTTTGATGGGAGTATCCCCTTATGGCAGCCCGGATGACATGCGATCAATAAAGAGGCCTCGTGTTCACTCTCTTTCATCTACGGTCGTCGTCACTCCCGCCGTTGCAGTTGTGCATTCTCCGTTGTTGCCCTTGTTGCCGTCTCCAGCGCGCCGTCCATACACTCCAGTACACCCTCTGTCGGATTTCGATGCGTTGTGTTTTCCTGTGCTGTCGCCGCCATTGCAACCTCACCGTTTGCAGTTTCTGTCGTGTGCTGCGCAGCCATTTCCTCCTCCTCCACTTTTCGTTGGACTTGACGGGTTGGACTCCATCCCCCTAGAGTGGTGTTCTCAATCATTAGAAGCGGTGTTTGGAAGTGGAGGGTCCACACTGCGTGACGGAGTACGTCGGAGTGTAGATCCGTGGGTCTCACATTCGTTCGCCGCATCAGGTCATGGGCAGGGGGGTGTATTGGATGATGCACGTCGTGCCTCTGCTGGGGACACACATGACCGTAATTTCGCCCGTCGCTCTCTCGTCTCCCGGTTCGACGAGGATGACAATGTGTGTGGTAGCGGAGATGGGCCCGGCCGTAGCGATCCTGGCGCCCAAAATCTTGGTGCGGGTCGTTCTGAACACTCAGGCGGGTCTTTGGGGCAATTCGGTTCGCAGTCAACTGGTTCCGCGAAGTACTCTCGTTTGTTCCTGACTACCGCTTGCAAGGAGAGACTGCGCCTTTTACAATCTGCGATGAAAGAAGTGAGCGACAAGTTTGGGGTCATGAGCGATGTCGTCGACCGACTCTTGCATTGGTCATTGCCAACCATCCAGTCAGAGTTCGGGGACGGTGTGGCGTCGAGGATCGAGAGAACACTACCGGCCGACAGTCGTGCAGATGTGTTTCGTCTCGGAGCAGGAGGGGATGATTCGACAGCAGACGCTGAGGATGATGGCGAGCGTGATCGTGAAGGGAGCGGTCGAGGCAATGGCGGGTCATTTTGTGGGTTGGATGATTCATTACCACGTTCTGGGCACGGGTCACAGCATGGCCACAGATCGCGCGGGCGGCCACCAAGCCGTGGCAGGCCGCGTTCGCGTTTCGAACATGTATGTCCTTTGTGCTGGGACGATTCGAAGGATGGTGCTTTGCAAACCGGACCTTGCAATAATCGGTCTGCACATGTGTTGGAATCGATGGGGCACTGGGAAGGCTCGAAAGCGCCTGATGTCGTCTTCGTGGAGCCGGTGAAGCTGCAGCAGTTGCTCGGGTTGTTTGATTTGAGTTGCCCGCGCCACGGGGGCGCTTGTGCTGTGGATGTGTCCTCTGTCAGTTATCCTGGACAGATTTGTCGCATTTCGCTCGCTTGTGAGAAGTCCTGTCGTTGGACATGGCACAATGCACTGGTTGGGGGAGCTGTGTACTCTTGCAGACTTCAACAGCAGTTGTTCCATGCGACCTTCACTGCGGGTATGACATATACCGTCCTCAACGACTTCTGCATCGCGTTTGGGGTGGCACCTGTGCACAAGCCCACTTTTTACAGTTGCATGCGCGGTGAGCCGAATGTGCGTGAGGGTTGGAATGCAAAGGTTGTCAGGCAGAGCGTGCGGTATTGCGACTTGGCCATTGACACGGTTATGCGATCAGGGAGACCCGTCACTTTGATGGTTGACGGTCGCTACGACTCGGCCAGGTCTGCGCAGCATTGCACTGTTACCGCGATTGAGTATGATACTCGTCTTGTGGTAGGTGTTCACACTCTTCGGCCAAAAAATGAGGGAAAGGAGTCGAACCAACTTGAGGTTCCTGCTGTTGTGCGCCTGTTGAGAGGCTTGCTGTCGAGGGGGTTGAAGATCCGGTGTGTTGTCTCCGACGATTGTGCTGCATTGGGTCCACAGTTGGAGCGCCTGGGTATTGAATGGCGGAAGGATTGCCATCATAAGGTAAAAAACATTCGCAAGGCACTTAGAAAAGTCGTGACACTGAAGGTGCCAAAGAAATTGAACAATCCTCATCAGTGCGTGTCGGAATCTCAGTTTATGCAGTTCACGAAGAAGGAGCTGTTGGATGCCTTGACGGACCGTTTTGGACCAGGGTTTTTGACGGCAAAAGAAGAACGATTGAAGAAGAGCGACTTCGTTGCTCTTGTGATGAGCAAAATGTACCCGTACGGCACGATGAAAAACAATAAATCCTTGGTCGTGGATGCAGATGGTGTGACTGAGTTCCATATGCATGAGGTGGGGCATTGGTTTCTTCGTGCTTCCCAGCTTTGCAGAGATGAGGGCGGTGACTTTGTCACTCTGCACAATGATGTCATGATGATCGCCGACCATTGGGCCGGGGACCACTCCAGGTGCGTTGCGGACAGAGAGCTTCTATGCTCAAAGGCCGGTGGCCCATCTCGGCTGCCTCTGTACACGCACGACGACCCCGTGTATGACATCATTCGCCAGACGTTGGGCAGGCATTGCAGCACGACCGTTTGTTCGTACTACACGGAGTTCCGTCACACGTCGACGGTTGAGACCTACCAGGGCACAATCATCATTTACGTGAAGAAGGCCTTGCATTTCGAGAAGTCGTATGAGCCGCGTTTGGCGATTGCAGTCATTCGATGGAACAGTCATGCATGGCAGGATCCCTTGAAGTATCGTGTCCGCAGGCCTTCTGGGACTTCGATTCGTCCAAGGCCGAGCCACTACCTTCACAATCGGGCACCTACCGATTCATGGATGGATCGGCTGTCCACGTTCATCTTCGGTTCAAACTGTTTCAGATTGGGTTCGACGCCTTCTCGAGTACGACGACTGTGATATGTCGGGCGAGGTCGGGTCCTCGACACCTCCTCTACCTCACCATCTTTTTTGCAGAGGCGAGGATACCATTGCCCGTGACGAGGACGACGTTGCTTCAGGTGCGGATCTTGACGTTGTGGGGGATGGCGATGTTTTCATCATTGGCGACGGGGATGGGTTGCCTGGACCGGCGGATACCGTGTCCGATCGATCATGCGATTCTCTATTGGACGCAGATGATGTCGAGTTGTTCGACGACTGACCTCATGTTATGTCGTAGTATCTTGTACATGCGACTTTTTTGTTTTTCAGCTTTTCAGTTTGACGTGTTGATTGTATATATATGTATGTATATATATATATATATATACATACATATATATATCGTCACAAACAGAACTGCCCGGTAAGACCGTAGGCAGAGAGAGAGAAGAGGACAACAAACGAGGGGCTGTGACAAACTGTTTCGTCGGAGTTTCACC